ACGTAAGTACCATTTTTCAGACAGTGGCACTTAAAGTAAATTTTTCATAAAAGTGCCTATATAATTTAAAAGTAACAGTCCCTGTAAGAAGGTTGCAGCAAGTGAGCTCTCACGCATCTTTTTAAACTCTGATGCCCTTATTTCTGTATTTTTTTCTGAAGACCTGCTCTCAAGAGAGAGTGCAGCTGTACCCGATTTCATGGAAGGTCTGGAGACAAAGACTTTATTTCACTGTATAAAATTATTCAGAAGAATTATTATTAATTCCTCTGAAATTCTCAAGAAATGTTGGTGCCAGGGCCTATTTCAATGCAAGTATGAGCTCTATTGGAAGAGTTTTGGAACAAGAGAAATCTAAGTTCCTGTCACATAAGTATATATGCAACCCAATATTTCTATGTCGCATTTCCAGCTATGGTTTCTATGTGACTGGTTTGTTTCAATGACTTAGGCCCACAGCTCACATACTGAATACTATGTTCTTCAGACAGGTATCTAAAGAACTGCCATCTCTGAGGAGAAAATAAGTTGCTCCCTCTTCTGATTTTTTGGGATGGGCTGGGGGACTCTCCAAAGTAATTTCAAATACATGGTGGGGGGGAGGTCAGGGGGTCACAGTTGATGGAAAATACTGTGGGTTTAACCAAAGACGTTACACAAAGCAAGGGAGTAGGAAGCTGGAAAATGAAGGTATCTTAATCTCCCTGCTGGAGACTGGACATCTCAAGATCGCTGAGAAGAAAAGAGATGCTGCTAATAGTCAAGCTACAGTCAGATCAGTGTACACAGAAAGCCTGGTGGCAACATTTTCAAAGCACTTCAGTATCATTTACTTAAGAGTCTAAGGGTGTATCTATACCATGTCAAAGCAAGGATACCCCCAAGCATACGTTGTTCACCCATTTTTGCTTGATTTGGTGTGGGAAGCAACAGTTCAGAGAGTGGGGAGATGTCTCCAAAGCAGCTTAGCCATCATGTTCCCATGTTTGGAGCAGGAGGTCATTCAGCATCCCAAAGTCATTTTGTTCATTTCTGAAAATATATATTTAAGTGCTTAGGTGGGAGCCTACAAAAGTAATGTGAATTACGTGCTTTTGTTAACAGGTACAAAGATGAAGTGTGATGCTACAGTGAATCAATATAAGATGAGTTCACTAGAAGCATTAGACCCGAGAATTTATAATCTTGGGATGTGTAATGTGGTGCGTCTAATACAAGACCAAAGAAACTGTTTTGTTTTATCCTTATGTAAGTTAGGAGGAGGCCTCATCCATCTTACGGCTTCCAGTTCCAAAGGGGCTAATCTTAAATTCTGCCTTTGCCCTGAAAGCTTCAATTGCTAATGTTGGTGTCCCTTTCTAAAAATCACTTTGAAATGCTGCTAATGTGGAGTGTGGCTCTTTCATCCCAGAAACATCTGCTTTCCACCAATAGGAAAATTATGCCCATATACAGGGGTTGTAAAACCCTGTGGGAATCCTCCGGCTGAAAGGCAGCACTATAGAACATAAATAAAAGATCATAATTTTTTTAACACCTACAACAGTCTGCACAGAGTTGGTCTGGTCAATTTGATTTAGCTGAAGGATGTTCCTTAAAAGGAAAAGGCATGATGCAGGAACAGAAGATCTAAATTATTGAGAAGCTGAGGAAACTAGGTCTTAGTTCTGTCTTTTTGCAAAGCGTTTGAAAGGAACTAAGACCAGTGATTCTCAACCAGGGTGCCACAGCACCTCGGAGTGATTGAGATCCTCTGAAAAGTGCCATGGGGTGCCATGCAACATTAGCACTGTTAGGTGTGCAACTCAGAGATTTCAGATGGGGGATTCATAGTATTAAAACATTCTGATCTGTAATGAACTTTCTGAGTTCTTTGCAGCAAAAGAATTGCTCTTTTACATTTCTCTAGGCAAAAAACAATTGAAGGCCAAGATCTGGCATGTTGAGGAGTGCTCTGAATCCAATGACAGGGTGCATCTGTTTGACTTCATACCGATGACTTTAAGGCTTAATTAAGCACAGACTCAGACCTGAATTCAATTCTGGATTTTATTAAGCGCAAAACGGTAAAAACTTAAAGTCTTTTGCTAAGCCCTTGCTTTCTTAATACCAGCAAGTGGCATCAAGGTGCAGCTACTCAGCTCAGACTCGAAATCACTCCAATATCTTTTGAGGTAAAGATACCAAACTGGCACAAGTGCAAAGTTACATTGAAATCACACATCTTCTATACTGTTAACTAATACATAGTCATTTTCTAGTCTACAAATCAAGTTACATGATTTTAAATATTTCGCAATTTTTACGCTTCCTATTAAAATAAGTTCTCACTTTTAATGCAAATTCTACTTCATTATAATCTACTTATACCATCATTATAATATCGCCAAGTGGATATGTGCAGGTTCTTGCTGCAATTTTGCGGTTTTCATACATCCTCTTAAAGCGTGCTTGCTTCTGAGTATCCTACTTGCGGAATAGCTGCGGTTTCTTGTTTACGCAGTACAAAGCTACTTTTGCAAACTTTATCACACTGCTTGCACCAATTATCCAAGGGTTAGATAGTGATATACCAGAATGTCAGTCGCTGACTCCTCAACCTCCTTGAAGCATTCTGGGAGTTTGGTCATTGTTAGGCCTAGCCTTATACCATCTCATAGCATCAAGTTGAAAAAGTTTGAGAACCACTGGACTAAACAAAAGTCTGCATGCAAGTTAGAGGTGGAGTGTTGAAGAGGTGTATTATACAGAATGGCCAGTGCACCTGACAAATAAAAGTGGAGCAATGGGCATAAATACTGCAGCAGAAATGGGCAAAGGCAAGGTTGAACAAGTGGAGCTGAGGTGCAGTGGATTCCTGAACCATGCCATCAGTTGGAGAATGGCTGAGGTCAGTCAAGGGGAGGAACTACATAGCATATTTGACTGCTGTTCCAAAAAGGAAACAGGCACAAAATACCAGCCATGGGTTATAAAGGTCAGCCTTGCCTCACCTTCCAGTATGACAGTGTGTGGCCCCTATGGAAGTGGAGAGGCAGCAAGCATATTAACCATTCCCTGGCCTAATGTTCAGAGGATCTTTGGACTGAAATCCTGTCCATCTCAGACCGGAGAGGACCACTTCCCTCCAACCTCCAGCACAATAGACGGTGGGATATAGCCCATTGTTTCCATAATTGCTCTTGAAAACTTGCGAAGGAAACTCTTGTTGTCATGCAGCTGTTCAAATTATGGACCTTTCCTGTGGTTGGAATAGTTCTGTTCCCAAAGCTGAAAGAATGGCGCTGCACTCTTTTAAATTCGGTCAGCCTAGATATCCTGATGCCAATGCACATTGGAAAGAAAAGACCTTGTTCAGGGCTGAAACAAATGTGTAACGCTCCTGCACTTCAGTGGGAGATCTGGAACCTTTCCACATAGGGCAGAATTCATGCTAGTAAACAGACAGGGCCATCTGAGGTAAGTGTAATCCTCTGTCCTGTGCAGAGGAGCTAGTATCATCAATTTATGGAGAGAGATGTCCTTGTAAGCTATGCTAGCACACTGGGTAAAACCCTAGGTGCACTCGCATGTATTGAGCCTGTGTATTGCGTGTATTAAGCAGAAGAAGTGCTTGTTAATTTGTACCCTTCTCTCCCTGTTTCTGGCTAGCTGGCTGGTGGCATCATTCTTGGTGTGGCCCTGTGGCTTCGTCATGATACGCAGACGACAAATATTCTGTACCTGCAGCTGGGCGACAAGCAGGCCCCCAACACATTCTACGTGGGTAAGTAGAACCTGTGGAGGTCATGGGCTGGTGTTTCTTTCCACTAAGATGTGGGGGGAAGTGGGCACAATTGAGGGGAGCAACAGGCTACAGTTGGACCTAGATAGGTTACAAGGATGGGCGGAGGAGAACAGGATGGGGTTTAACACGGACAAGTGTAAGGTGATGCACCTGGGGAGGAACAATAGGCACCACACATACAGGCTGGGGAACTCCCCTCTTGTCAGCACGGAGGTGGAAAAGGATCTGGGAGTCATTATTGACTCCAGGATGAACATGAGTCGGCAGTGTGGGGAGGCGGCTAGGAAGGCCAACTGCACCTTGTCGTGCATCCACAGATGCATCTCGAGCAGGTCCAAGGAGGTGATCCTCCCCCTCTATGCGGCACTGGTCAGGCCGCAGCTGGAGTACTGCGTCCAGTTCTGGGCGCCGCACTTCAAGAGGGATGTGGACAGCATCGAGAGGGTCCAGAGGAGGGCCACTCGTATGATCAAGGGACAGCAGGGTAGGTCCTATGAGGAAAGGTTGCGGGACCTGAACCTGTTCAGCCTTCAAAAGAGAAGGCTGAGGGGGGATCTTGTGGCCTGTTATAAACTGGTTAGGGGGGATCAGCAGGCGCTGGGGGAGTCCCTGTTCCCCCGAGCGCCGCAAGGAGTGACCAGGAACAATGGTCACAAGCTGGCGGAGGGAAGGTTTAAGTTGGACATCAGGAGGCGCTACTTCACGGTCAGGGCGGCTAGGGTCTGGAACCAGCTTCCAAGTGAGGTGGTGCAGGCTCCCACCCTGGGGGTTTTTAAGAGGAGGTTGGATGACCACCTTACTGGGGTCATTTGACCCCAGTGCTCTTCCTGCCATGGCAGGGGGTCGGACTAGATGATCTGCTCAGGTCCCTTCTGACCCTAGAAACTATGAAACTATAAACTATGAAACTTGTACAAAGTGCATGGCTTCAGTGACTTGGGACATCCCAAAAATGCAAACAGAAAGAATAGTGCAAAGCTACATGAAGTACATGTACTTGGCAATATGGGGGAATGTTTGTTCACCAGAGTGCCCCAAGGGATGACAAGGTCGAACGGTCACAAACTCCTCCATGACCGTTTCAGGCTGGACATAAGGAAGAACTTCTGTACTGTCCGAGCCCCCAAGGTCTGGAATAGACTGCCGCTGGAGGTGGTTCGAGCACCTACTTTGAACGCCTTCAGGAGACATTTAGATGTTTATCTTGCTGGGATCCTATGACCCCAGCTGACTTCCTGCCCCTGGGGCAGGGGGCTGGACTTGAAGATCTTCCAAGGTCCCTTCTGGCCCTAGTGTCTATGAATATACAGAAATAACATATAGTTTAAAATATGCCATGCACATGTAAATCCTGAGTCCCTCCTGCCAAAATAAAAAGCACCTGAAATTGTTTTCCCTCCTTCCTCCTCCCCTGCTTTTTTTTCTTCTTTTATCCATGTATGCAACAGCTGGATTATTTTTAATTTCTCCTATGCCATTCTGAATAACAACATCCCTTTTAAAACATTTTAGTTTCAGCAGGGGGTTGCATGATGGGTTTGGGCCTGAGAGGAAGGGTTGCTGCTTATAGTTACATTTGGGGATTTTTGTCTCTTCTAAAAAAGATACTGAGTAGCTGATTGGTTAGCAGTGGAAAATAAATTGAAAAGAACAGTACGACTCATGTTCTCCAGGTGTGTGTGTGTAGGGGGGAGGGAGAGGAGAAAGGGTGGGGGGTTCTTAAGTTTTAATGTGATTTAATTCATCTGTCAGTATGCTGACTTGCTGGGACAGTAAGGATACCCTTATTTGGCTGTGTTCATCTGCATATGACCAGCAGCCAAATACTTAAAGAACTAGCATGAACAAAATGTCTGCTTGCAATGTCTCCATCTCCTGTGAGGTCTGGCCTCCTCTTCCTTCACTGTTTGTCTAAAACCAGCTGTCTGGTAGGGAGAAGGCTGAGGATGCTGTGCACAAGGGGAGGGATACTGACTGTGAGGGTCTGGCTGGGGACAGAGTATTCCTGCAGAGAGGGGCAAGGGAGTCTGTCATGGATGGGAGGGAGGCGTGTGTAGAAAAATATTAAAAAGACTTTTCTCTGTTACTGTCCAAACAAAACGTGCATGGATTCTCCTCAAGGTTACTCCAGTTGAACTGTGACTTTGCAGGGGATTCTCCCCAACATACTGGTGTAAAGGGAGGTTCGGAATGATAACTACGTCCCCATCTTCCCTGAAATAACTCGGTGTGCAGAGGAGGTCTTCATCCACATGCAAAATATCTGTACCCAGTAGAAAAGGGTATATGGCAGCCTCCTTTCAAACATGACATGAAGGGAAGTGTGATGTCCTTCTCATGAACTAGCGCATATGTGTGGAGACATGGGGCTTAGCAGTATGGAGACTGACCCCCCTCTTGTTTTAAGGCTGCCAGCTGTAGATAGCATTTCATCTCTGACCTTCCTCTTTTAAATACCCTATAGCCTACTTAGGACAATTCTAAGGAAATGGTAGGCCACTGACCAATATTGAATCTGTGGTATTAGTGCTGGTATTGGGGATTATGCCTAACCATGGGATGGGAAGAAACGTAAGAACCTTGCGTCTCCCCACTGCCTCTCAAGATGCACTTTGGCAGACTACCAACGTTTCCATTAATTTTAAGGAAAAAAAAAAAAAGAAGAAAGAAACAACTCTAGTGGAGCATTGGTGAAATTCCTGAAACACTGTCACACCATACCCATTCCTGTCCCATAAATACCAAAATTGGCCACTGTAGCACAGCCAGCTGGGTACCTAGACAGTTGAACCATGGCAGTTCAAATGGGCTGCTTCAGTAACAGCTGTTCCAGCTCAGGTTCATCCGTGTACCTGGATCTGTTTTATGCACATGAGGTTTATGCTCTCTGTGGGCCATGTTGGGTGCTGAACTCTTGAAAACTTGGTATTTGGATTGAGTCTGAGCTCCCTTGGCAATCTGGCCTCCAGTTTGCGAGACTGCTGAGCTGTGTTTATTGTAAGTGTATACAACAATAGCTTGAATATATCTGAATCATTTATTACCTACTGCAAGTTGGGAAAATATACAAATGTAAAACCTGATGTACAATGCTAGACCAGTAAGCTGTGTAGTCTGGAATCTTGTTTGCAGTGGTAATCAATACTTACTTCAGAGGAAGGTGCCATTCTTAAATTTTCCTGCCTCACCAAATTAACCCATCTAATTAGGGCATGGGCAGACCTGCGTGACATGTTCCAGATCCTGCTCCAATCTGGAGCACTTCAAATTCAGTGCTTAAGCACCATGCAGCTGTGCATGCCATCCCACCCAGACCCTTAAAACAACTGCAGAGGCATGCAGTGGTAGTGCCCTCCAGAAAGGAGGTTGGCGAGAAGGAATTCTTGCATGTGTCACTGTCACCAGAGGTCCTTGAGGATAGGAGAGCATGCATTGGCTGTCTCCCTCTCCCTCTTCCCACCCGTCCCCATGGAACCATTTTGGGAAGATCAGGACCTGTTTTGCTCTGGTGGAGTGTGCAGGCATTTGATGAAACATCTAAGAGATACTCCTCTTACTTACTGTATTTACTCAATTAGAAAATGATCCCCCCCAACCCCATTTTAATGTGGGGGGAAGCCCCTCTCTTTACAATCGAGCATGAGGCAGCAGGAGGGTGGGCAGCTGCCATAGCTCCAGCTCTGGCCTCAACCCAGGGTTGGAGCTGCAGCTGCCCTCCTGCCCCCCTGCTGCCTCTGCAGGCCCCCTGCCCCCAACTTCTCCCCTGCAGGCCCCAGTCTTCCCCCCACCCCTCCATTCGGCTTCTCCCTCTCTATGCCCTTCCACCACATTACTCCTTATTTTTCCTCTGCTAGCAGACCCTGCCTTTGCCACAGTCTTGAGCACAGAGCCTGTTCTCCAGCCCAGCCCTGTACCAGCAGTGCCAGGTCCATGCCACTGCTGCAGAGCTCAGCTGGAACCATGCCAGAGCTAGACTGGAGCAGCAGGGATAGGGCCTGCTGGTGTGGAAATGGTAAAGGCGGGGGGTGGAAGGGAAGGTGGGGTGAGGAAAGGCTTCAGGGGAGGGTGGGAGATGAGAGGAAGATGATGCTGCAGGTGGCAGAAGCAGCATAGAGGGGAGAACAGAGGAAGGGGGAATATGGTGGGGGATGCAGATGCATTAGGAGACAGGACAGGCACAATGGGAGACATGTAAGATGGGACAGGACAGACAGCAGGGTCAGCTGCCTGCCTCTCAGTGCCTGTCCCACTGCCTCCACACTACCTGCCCCCTATCACCTAACTCACACTGCTTGCCCCATTACTGATCCCCACTGCCTGCCCTACCGCATGCCTCCCTACTGCCTCCTCCACTGTCTGTGCCCCATTACTACCCCCCTCATCAACTCTTCCCCCCCACCATCTGCAGTAGTGGGGTGAGGATGAATTTAAGATGATAATTCAATAATTAAATTCCATAGATAGAAAATTTTCCATACATTTATAAATTTTCCATGTGTAGAAGCTAATTATTGTGGGGGTTGTTTTATATGCAGGGTCTTCTTGTATTTGAATAAATATGGTATTGCCCCAAGAGTAACTTTTTTGGAGCACTTTTTCAGGAGTAAATGTCTGTACCCTCGCTGTTTGGAGCACGTCAAACAGCACATCGGTCCATGGCCTCTGTTTGCCTGTGGGTGAAGGGTATTCATTCCCAATTCCACTAGACTTGTCTTCTACCAGCACCCCCTGTAGTCTTCAGTACGTGGGCAGGGTACCATTTGGCCCGTCTTCATATTGGCTTTTCAATGTAAAATGTAACACAGTGGGGCTGTGAAAGAACAGAAAGCCCAATTCTCTTGTTTCTGGCCCTCCTTGGTCCCCCCAACCCATCACCCACACCATATACTAAGTTGGTCCAAAGCATTTCATTTCCTTAAGGCAAAAAAATGATCACTTTCCCAGACCTTTGCTAGGAGGAGCTGTTAATAAATCTAGAG